GAGAGAGAGAGAGAGAGAGAGAGAGAGAGAGAGAGAGAGAGAGAGAGAGAGAGAGAGAGGGAGAACACATACAAAAAAAAAAGGTTATTTTTATTGGGGTTATTACTAGGCTACCAGCCGGGCCGCCTGGGTCCCGGGTGGCCAGCGAGTGCAAGGACAAGGGAAGGGCCCAGCAAAACAAAAAAAAAACTCCAAAAAATCAAAAAAAAAAACTATGGTATGCAGAAAAATAAACTGAACAACTTTTGCCTCAGGGTCACATCGAAGTTCTTTACCAAATTGAAAATATAAAATAACATTTTAATTTTCTTTTTGGCCCGGCCGGGCAAGTTACCCCAGGCCACTCTGGTAGCCTACGGTTATTATTATTTTTTTTTTAACAATCTGAAAACAACCCCTCCCAGATTTCAAATTTTTTTTTTTTCAGTTGATTATGGCGGGGGATGCCATGCGCAGGCGATGCACGCGCCCCGATTTTGGACGCATGGCTCCATCCACCTGCGCGCGGCGCGGCCGTGGAAAAACTTGGCCTCGCATCCATGGCCGTGGGGGTCACGTAGCTGGTGGTTGAAGTACACAGACATATCCTCACCTCCGGGGGTTTGCGCATGGAGATTCATCTAGTTCATCGGTGAGTTGGTAGACCCTAAGGGCACCCCCCCCCTACTGGGACCACCTGGAATGAAACTGGTCCTCATTACTGGTCGATACAACCAGTAATGTCCCTACCAACTCCTCGGTGTGAATATGGCCTGCTGCCTCCCTTTGCATGTGGAAGGTAGGTGTGGGTGTACTGCAGCGGTTCAACTTGGAGGCGACGACAGCCCTTGAATATCCCTGAAAATACAGTGGACATACATCCAAGGGTGGAGGATTTTGGGACGGGGGAACGGAGGGTTGGAACGTGTTATCACTGACGAATGCTCGCGCATGGGTTGTAAATGGAGTGAGAATTTTTCAAGGTGTTGAAAATGTCCTTGTACATGAAAATTGTGCTTTTTTTTGTGATTGGATGCTTTGAAAAAAAAAGAAAAAAAAAGAAAAAAAAAGAAAAAAAAAGGATGCTTTGATTGGTTAAAAAAGCATCCAATCACAAAAGAAAAGAAAAGAAAAAGAAAAGAAAAACTCCAATCCTGTCCTTCGGGACACCCGTTAAAACTTGGAATGATACAGAGAATGAACATTAGCATGGTCGCTGCGCAACGATGACACATAAATCGAGGAATCGTCCCTCCCCAAAAAGAAAACCCTCCAGCCCAAAAAGAAAACCCTCCAGTCCATTTATGATTTATATCACTCTTTTATCATGAAACAGGTTGGGCAGAGAACGGCGATTAATATATGGACGAGGCATTTAGGCGGTGCCGGTCAAGTATACCTATTTCATTCCATAGCCGAGATGAGGTTATTTCTAAATATAGGAATGCCACGATCGACGCTTCCCGTACTGGTGCTGGGAGTTTTGGCGGTTCAACAGTTCTTCATCTCCGCTGTCGTGTGCACTTCACCTGAGCAGCAGCAGCAGCACCAGCAAGAACTCGGAGAAGCGTACGGTGACAGTCAGGAGGTTCCGCTTCAAACTGCAAAGCCCGAGGGCGAGGACGATGGAGCAATTCTGTCTTCGCTGCTGCCGATGCACATTGTTGAAGTGCACTGGAATGAGTCTTCTGCCAACTGCACCCATAACTGTTTTGTGCAGGTGTGGAGAATAGAAGAGTCTCCAGAGGCATTCTGCAGAGAAGCAAAGGGTACTGGCTTGCAGTCCTCCGAGCTGACGCACGACACCTGTGTCGGGGATGGCGACACTCAGCACAACAGCGAAGGCGCACAGAGCAACGCTCAGCGAGGAAACGAAAATATCCTCCGTGAGTGCCGGAGAGCAGTTGACGCGGAAGATGGATTGGAACCTGCATTGCTGGAAAGCGTGACAATCGGCTGTGGTGACGATGACAAGCAAAGTCAGCTGTCAGAAAACGAACAGCAGCTCGGGAATGTCCCATCGGACGGAATCGCTCCTTGCTCTCTTCTGAATGGACAAGGCGAGGATAGACGACCTTCGCAGGAATTACTCCTGTCGACTCCGGTGCATGCACATGTACCGATTTTCGATCTTCGTCCCGGGATATACAACTTGACAATTGACTGCGGTCGATGGCCCACGATTACCTCCTCGTCGCCGTTAGCGAGTTCTCTTCGGCCAGGGGAGAGGCATTGCGATTCTCACCCTAGGTCTGTGTTAGCGAGCATTCCGCTGCGAAGGGAGGGCAAGGATGAGCGTCACGGTGATCATTCCGCTGTTGACGTATTTGACGATTGGACCGCTGAAGTCTTGGCCAACTTCACTCTGGAAGAGAGAGAAACACCCATAACCGAAAGTCGATGGCTCAAAGTTTACTCTTTTGTGAAGATAGGTGTCCTACGATGCTGGTTGCACCCGCTGCGTGAAATCACACTGATCCTGCTAGTTGCTGCTGGCGCGTATGCTCTCGTTCCGACAGCTGTACGGTTCTTTGACGACTTGATCTGAGTGGATATACGTGTTCGTTCCATCAGCAGTAAGCTTTTTTTCTTTTCTTTTTCCCTTTCCTTTCTTTGATGGCTTTCATCTCAGTGCACTGAGCTTATAGTGCTTCGTTTGAAGAAGAAGTGCCACGTAAGCTCACCTCTCCAGTGGTCTGCAAACGGTTTTGAGGATTGGTATGCCCGCCCTGGCCGCCCACCTGTCTGGCGGTCTGCAAATTTTGCAGCAGAACGGTCCGACGTTCCGATGACGATGCCAGCCTCTCAACGGGTCTTCTATGGCGGCGATATCATACGAATGAATGGTGGCGATATCATGCGAATGAATGGCGGCGGTATCTAGCGAATGAAGCAAACGATACCACGTAATATGTCTGTTGACAGTAGAGCAACCAGAGGCTGCTGCCAGTAGGTGGTCGGTTAGCGTGCTGTCCCCGTTACTTTCGTGTGAGATAGGCGTGGTTCAGTGTCCTGTGAAGGCAGAGCTGAGTGTTACTGTGAATCTTTCCTCAACTTGAAGTGAAACTTCAGTGCACGTGGTGATGGCTATGCGCTCGTGCGACCCTCTGTGTCCACAAGCAGACAGAGCAATGGATTGGCACTGAAAGAATATTCTCCACACGCATGTTTCAAGACTGTCCTTTGAACTTTGTGTGGAGACCCTTTGTTTTCACAAAAGAAAAAGATAACATTCTTTTGGTGCGATCCTACGGCTCTGTCTGCTGGCAGACAAAGGGTAGCAAAGAGTGCTCCCATGGTTACCTCCACGACGTGCATAGCAATTTTGCTTGGGACAGATACACTCTAACTGTGCAATTTCCCTTCAGGAGTCGTTCACAGGATCCTCACAGAACTCTCTTTGAAAGGACAACAAACAGTGGTCAATGTACACACACACACACACACACACACACACAGAGAGAGAGAGAGAGAGAGAGAGAGAGAGAGAGAGAGAGAGAGAGAGAGAGAGAGAGAGAGAGNAGAGAGAGAGAGAGAGAGAGAGAGAGAGAGAGAGAGAGAGAGAGAGAGAGAGAGAGAGAGAGAGAGAGAGAGAGAGAGAAGGAAGAAACATGGGTTGTCAGTGCATCAATATATGAGAGAGAGAGAGAAAGAGAGAGAGAGAGAGAGAGAGAGAGAGAGAGAGAGAGAGAGAGAGAGGAAACATGGGTGGTCAATGATGTGGATATGTCATGTGTTCAACTGTCTCACATTCTGTGGTTAAGTCATATCGCGCTTGGTGTTGTATTGTGAGTTTCTTCAAACGTTTACTCGGTCTCACCAACGAGCTTTTAGGGTGCGTCAGCGTTGGATTCCGCAGTTCTTTACATGTTACGTAGTCCACCTGGAAGTGGGGGGGTGTATAGGTAACGACAATTGCACGATTGTGGGGTTGATTTCAGTCGATCAGATGTAACATTCACTGTCAGATCATATTACCCAAAATCTACTGTGTTTTCCGTCATTTCCAAGACTACATCCCCTTTCGTTAGCACTACCTTGTGTTCTTTTTGGGGTCTACCTTGCGTTTCTTTTTGGGGTGAAGTAGCGGTGTACATGGCTTTTTTTTGGGGTCTACCTTGCATTTTTGGGGGTGTCTACCTTGCATTTTTTTGGAGGTCTTTGTGGGGGGGAATGGAAGTGTACGGAAGCAAATACCTGAGCTAAAATTGGATGTATTCAACGTTAAAGGAGGCAGGAAACGTTCAAGGTTTCCAAATTGGGGAAATGGCCATCGGATTTGCTACCCCAGTCTGGGGCCGCTTAGACGAATGATGATGATATTTCGAGGCCCTCGCCCTGTTTTTTGGGGGGGCAAAAGTAGGGTGCTGTCACGGTTTCAGTTTGAAAATGCGCTTCAGTCACGATTTCGCGAATGTTGTGCCGAGCGAGGCAAATTGTGAATGTATACAACCTTAGCTTTAGGCTCCGGTGGGGATGTGTTGTATTCGAGGGATGCCTGGAGTGGATGTAATTGTGACTGCGGCACCCTAGTTCCCCCCTTTTTTTTTCTTTTTTTTTTTTTGGCACCACTAACACTGGAGGGGGCGGGTTAAAAATAAAAATAAAAAATTACCCCCTTTTTTTTATAAATAAATAAAGGAAATGCCCACCAGATTTGCTAACCCAGTCTAGAAAATCTTCATAGATACCCCTGAGTCCTGAACATACATAAGGGTGGCAAAAAAAATGTGGAGCGCCACTGGGTACCACCGTCTCAAACCCCTAGTCCGTTCATGCCTCTTTTTCCGTACCTGGATTGCTGCTGCGTGCCGATAAGCAACAAACCGACACTCAGGCAATATATTATATTTTTGCCTCGCGCTGCCAGCCACATTCCCGTTCGGTGAAAATTATTTTGAGGCCCTGTCAACGTGGCTGGTTAACCTGGTTTACCTCCACGTCAGTGAAAATATTTGGGAATTCGACGGATAACTTCCACGTCGGTGAAAAATATTTGGGAATTCGACGGGTAATTCCACGTCGGTGAAAAATATTTGGGAATTCGACGGGTGGTTGAAAAAAAATAAAACCTACCGCTCTCCCCAAAGCTACCTGGTTTCTTTAACTTGCCCGACGCTTCGTGTCTGAATCCTCAGAAAGTTGCAAAATGCGCAGGCCTGGGGCCAAGTCCCACTAGTAGCAGCGTCGAGTTTCCTCAATGCCTGAATCTGGACGTGTTTGTGGAAACGTGCCGTTGAGGACACTTAACGCGATTTCTGCACATTATTTATTTGTTTATTTGATATTTTCTCATTTTCTTGTTGTCCTCTTTTTTTCCTTTTTAATGATCGTGGCAGGGCTCTAGGTTGCTACGAGAGAGCGGGATGTGTTCCCCGTGGCACTGGGCCTCGCTGCACTACCACGCTTGAAACTTGACGTTTCCAGAGTGTGGCATGGCTGCATGAACTCTTGCCACGCAGGATGGCCCAAACCTAGTATCCGAGACCTGTTGGACTCACTCTCGAAAATGTCGAGAGTGACGCTCGTCATCGCTGCACAAACTAAAGAAAGGGCCTGGCACGAACTAAAAAATCGAGAGCTAGGCTACCAGCCGGGCCGCCCGGGTCCTGGGTGGCCAGCCCGTGCAAGGACCAAGGAAGGTCCCAACAAAAAAAAAAAAAAAAAAAAAAAAAAAAAAAAAACCCGAAAAAAAAACTATGTTATGCAGAAAAATAAACTGAACAACTTTTGCCTCAGGGTTACATCGAAATTCCTCACCAAATTTAAAATAAAAAATAAATTTTAAAAATATTTATTTTTATTTTTTTTGGCCCGGCCGGGCAAGTGACCCCGGGCCACTCTGGTAGCCTAGATCGAGAGTGATTTTTTTTCTTCTTCATGTGCTGTCAGAGGTCACTCCGCAGTGTCACTCTTGACCGACCATTCAAGCGCGCCAGCCTGCAGGGTCTTTTTTTTGAAGGGAGGTCTATATAGGACCCTGGGCCCATTTAATAAACAAAAAAAAAAGGACCCTACGTGCCCCATTGTTTGTGTTTGCAGGGTTTACCTGGATTCTCGGTGGAAAAACCTTTGTAGTGCTTCCTCACCTTCAAGAGTTCTAGAGTTTAGCGTAAGTGCGCAGGCAGCCACAACTGCACAATCCCGCATGGCATTTCAAGAGTCTGACAATTCTTGAACGACGACGGTTGAACTTTTTTCAGGAGTCTAGTGTAGTGCAGCGAGGCCCATTATCTCAGGTATCTTGGGAAGACTGTTGTTTAAGCCCCGCGTACCATACTTGCAAGGGGACGCCGTCCGGGCGGTTCCGCAGGTGCGGCAGACTGCCGGACCGGACCGGCGCGGCGCATGAATGTGCGCCCGACGACCAGTTACGCCCCCCCCCCCCCCCCCCCCCCCCCCCCCCCCCCCCCCCCCCCCCCCCCCCCCCCCCCCCCCCCCCCCGGCAAAAAAAAAAAAAATGGCCCCGTCCGGTCCGGTCCGGGGGGAGGGTGCCGCACGCGGCAAAGCGGACCGGACCGGACGCTCGTCCGGTCCGTCTGCTTGCAAGTATGCTCCGTACGTTTCCTGGGAAAATTTCTTCGACGCAGCACTTCATGTACTGTGACTTCCAAGGTTGATGAACGAAGTTAAAGGTGGCCCCGACCCCCAAACGTTGTGGTGGCTGCCATGCCAGCAAACGAAATTGACTGAGAAACATAATGGTGCGCTTACACCAAACTGTCCCGCGTGTTGATTTTTGAGGCCATTGGTTGATTGTCAGAATCTGTGGATGTAGGGTAGGTGCTCTTCTGTTAGGAAAAGTTAGAGAATTCCACAGTGTGACAGTGATCGTACCAAGAAAAGAGAGAAAGTGTCCACGCGGAGTCGGATGGCCACTAGTTGCGTATCTTTTCCCCCTGCCCCACATTTCCCCCGTCTTCCCTCCCCCTCTGCAAAAAAACCGACAGATGCTTTCTTTTGTAATCGGTGGGTGGGGGTATATGCCCCCCCCCCCCGCCGCTCCTGCCCACCCCCCCCCACCCCGGACATACAACTGGCAATGGGTAGCAAAAATGTAATCCAATCATTTGGTTTGGCAATGCAATCTATATGTCGGATAAGCGCAGGGTGGGTAGTAAACTCAAAAGGAGTCAGCATACCATCACATCCTCCACCGTGACGTCGTGGGCTTGGTCGATCTCCCTACAAGTGGCAACGGAGGTTGCTTGTACAGTGTACACAAGCAAGACACTGAATTGGTTAAAAAAAAAAGAAGAAAAGAAAGGGAACTGACCTGGTTAGTGACATGGAAGCATCGGCACGGGAAGTGGGGAACTGCTCTATTTTTTTTTTTTTTTTTTTTTAATGGTCCAATCTATTGCTGGGGAGCGGCACCTGCCGGAAACCAGGTCCAAACCCATTGCTTATAGTCGGTAGAAGATGGTGCCGGGCTCAAATCCTCCTATACCCATAAGGATGTGACGGAATTGGTAGAGGCGCTGACAGATGATGATGGTAGGCTTCCCCTGAACAAGATCAGCAAAGGTGGAAAACAACGATCAAACCACAAGTACCTCCACGCCTCAACTTCTCCCGACGCCAGATTTTGTGCGCCCCTGGACTACCGAGATGAGTTCTGTAGCACATGTGCGACTGTGTAATACGTATGTCTGTTGCTGCACTGCTAGTAACCCCTATTGGACCCCTATTAGACCCATTTTGGACCACTATAGGACCCCTATTGAACCCCTATTCGACTGCTCTTGGACCCCAAAAAAGTGAAAACAATGCAAAGCATAGGACAGTGGGATCCTCTGCAGTTCCTAGCGACCTTTCTCGGACAAAACTCGAACACCCCATGCTTTGCATTGTTTTC